CACCTTCCCAGGCCTCTGGCACAGCTGCCAGCATCCTCACTGCTCTGAGTAGCTCACAGAGTCTTAGACAAGGAGACCTGAACAGCTAGGGAAACTGAGGCACAGAGAGGTGTAACATCATCCCGAGATCACACAGCAAACCAAGAGCTAGTCCGACACCCCAGGGCCTCCTAGAACAAGGCCAAGGCAGCCCCAAACCACACTTCCTCTGCCTCCCTCACCATGGGCAGGCTGAGGCCAAAACCATCTACTAACTAAGGCTGAGAAAACAACCCACATCCCCCACCCCAACCCAGCTCTGCTTCCCAAGCCTGCCTCTCGGGGGCCTGGTGGCTGATGCCCTCCCGGCCTGGTGCAGGGGGACTCCGGTGGTCCACTGAACTGCCAGCTGGAGAACGGCTCCTGGGAGGTGTTTGGCATCGTCAGCTTTGGCTCCCCGCGGGGCTGCAACACCCGCAAGAAGCCGGTAGTCTACACCCGGGTGTCCGCCTACATCGACTGGATCAACGAGGTGGGTGCCGCCTCCACAGCTGTCCTTGCACCTGTCAGCCCCTCCCCCTCACTCGCCCACCCCCTCACTCATTCATGCATTTATTCATTTATTTATTCACTCATTCCTGCCCTTATTCACTCATTCATGCATTTAGTCACTCACTCATTTATGCATTTATTCACTCATTCATGCATTTATTCACTTATTCATGCATTTATTCACTCATTCAGCATTTATTCACTCATTCACACATTTATTCATTCATTTATTCACTGATTCATTCACTCATTCATGCATTTATTCACTCATTCATGCATTTATTCACTCATTCATGCATTTAGTCACTCATTCATTTGCTCATTCAGTGATTCATTCATGCACTTATTCACACATTCACTCTCTCATTCAAGAAATATTGGTTGAGTGCTTCCAGTAGCAGGCCTTAAGTTGGGTCCCAATAAGGAAAACAGTCATCGACTCCTCCATCCATCCATCCACTGCCTTCATCAAGCACTTATGTCCCCATCCAGGCCCCACACCAGTCTCCCCCAAAACCTGACCCTCTGAGGCTATGGCCCAGCAGAGGAGAGGGATGGTGTGGATGGCCATTATCATCTTGAGAGTAGGGGAACAGAGGGTCACCCTGGGCTGGGGGCTTCCCCACTGGGGACAGGGTGTGTTCCAAGACCCCTTTGCACAATAACCTGAAATGCTGAGGGGCTCAGACCCCTTGGACAGGGATAAGGAGGGCATGTGAAGGCTAGGAGCCGCCGGCCATGCCACCATGGACCTACCCTCCGGGCAGAGCCTTGTGCCACCCCGGAAGGTGGCACAGCCCTGAGTCCCTCACACTGTTCTCTGCTCCTCCAGAAAATGCAGCTGTGACCTGTTGCTGGGAGCGGCGACAGGGAGTCCCTGCAAGAGCAATAAACTTCCTTCTC